GTGGTGACGAATGGGTCACTGAACATCAGTGAGGATACCACGCGCTCGGGAAACGGAACCTTGTGAACGCCGCAGTCATTAATCGAATCTGGACCAGGCAACCCAGTAACTGAATGTGCATGCGCAACGGTCAACGCCGTCCGTCAACGTTGACCTTCACCAAGGTCACACATTGTTCCATCTGATCCAAATCACAAGCCGGCCGTTATGCGGAGATACACTGTAGGTGTGGTACCTTTTAATACCAGATGACATCGAATACATCAGGATTGTGTTGTCAGTATTATTTGGTAACTTCCGTTTTCAAATGGGGTTCCTGTGGAAACATGGTGAATGTGCGATAAAGGTTCTATTTGGATCTGAACTGTACTCCTTATTTCAGAATACCGATGCTAATCTTATTTAGACACATTATGTACAACTGCTTTAAGTTAAACAGAACAGGTACATGGCTGTGCAGTCTCTTTAACACTTTCACGGGTCCTGTTTATGTGGCATCCGTACCGAGCTTAACCACACAGGACATTATATAGATAGTGTCGTAACGCTCATCGCATTATTGAAACACCATGGACGGTCACAGGCAATGCCAAGTTACCGACATATCTAACAATTAATGAAGAAAGACCAAATTACATTTTCCGTAATACACTCTACTGTTAAAAATCGTCCCTGATTTAAACAGCGTATTTTCTCGAAAACGTCCAATCAAGGAAGGGTTGAGATAGTGAAGGGGATACAACGTTTACAACACGTAAAGTTAGAAGCAAAATTCATTGACAGCCCTATAAAAAAATCTTTGGGGCTCGCCTTTACCACCCACCGGTACCAAGTGAGTGAGTATGGTTTTACGCCGCTTTTAGCAATATTCCAGCAATATCACGGCGGGGGACACCAGAAATGGGCTTCACACATTGTACCCATGTCGGGAATCGAACCCGAGTCTTCAGCGTGACGAGCGAACGCTTTAACCACTAGGCTACCCGACTACCCCTCTGTACCAAGGAAAAAGGTCAGGGATAGAATACCGACCGATGATTCTCTTCACGTGGAATATTCCCACTTGGGTATTCCAGGTTAGAATTGGTCCTCGGGGATATACGTTGGATCGAGTGGTCGTGACTTGGTTGATGGCGTGTGCCCAGAAAACGTGGGTCCTTGGCCACAATATCAATCTGAAGACTATTTACAGGTCGTGCAGCTCGAAGATTGCTACGTGCGGCGTTAAACAACAAAACAATAACAAACATGTGATATTCAAACTGTAACTATTTACAGCGCCCGCTCTACCACATGCACTCGTGCATAGCCGTGAATAACAGTATCTGTACAAGACATAACTGGATTGTATTTTAATTCAAATATGTACGGTAAGGTAACGCAATGTATCTCGTGTCCGCATAACTTCACTTAACGCTTACAGTCTACTTATCTTTCTTTTACATTTCCCCTTCTCAACGTACCGCGATCATGTAAGGTTATTTTTACATTTTTTTATCATATTTTTTTCTTTTTAATAAAGATATCTTATATCTATGAACAATCTTCATTGAATTAGCGATTCTGTTTTCGTTTCAGTAAATGTTTGGTCTTAAGTGCTTAGAAACGTTTAGACATAAAAAAGAAAATTCTCGTCTCTTAACCGCTTCCGGTTGTTTCGCTAGAGTACGTAAATTCCTAGCTCGTGACGTCACGCCCACCTCATGCCAAAGATGGAAAATGGAAGCAAAGGTATGTTCATTCAGCGCGTGTTTCGTGGCACCGAACCAACGGAAAACACGTTTGTTACCAATTATTCAGCCAAATAAAAAAACATAATATCATAATAATTATACTTTATTAACAGGAGCAACTTTAATAATTTGAACAGTTTTGACTACATTTACAAAACTAAACATCCGGGTAAGAGAAAGTCTACATCCATGTTTGATGGTGGCTACAAATGACACGAACAGGAAATGGTTATTTGATGCTGGTGTATTTGATACTGGCCTCACAATTGAGTTTTGGACCTTCAGTTAACATTGTTTTGGCGACTGTTTTCGAGCAAGTAACGTTTGTTATTTTTGTGTACGTTTTGTATTTCAAATGTATAATTTCTTTCTTCTGGCAATTTATCACACTCTAAACCAATGGGTGCAACTGTTAAAGCTGTCTGTCAGAACATGGTAACCTGCGCTTCACAATGTACAGCTTATTATAACCCGATGCAAACAAACTAGAAAATAGCATTGGATGAAAGAAAGCATCATGTATTCACTGGCTTCGTAAATAGGATAACTCTCTCGGTGAAAACAGTTCAGTACGTATAGGGTACATTTCATAACCATTGATCATACAATGCATCGATGCCTCATTGGAGGCCGTGATTTGAGGTCAGTGTCGAGGGTAGAGGATTATTGGCAATCACTGGTCCAGCAGATGAGCACAGGTAAGGCGCCTAATGACAGATCACTGTAATGACTAGCGCTGATGAAATAGGTTAACGATTAAATTGTGCAACGATATGGGAAACAACTCTCTCTCTCTCTCTCTCTCTCTCTCTCTCTCTCTCTCTCTCTCTCTCTCTCTCTCCATACTCACCCACTCCCACAAAAACACGTTTAACATTGGAACATAGTGTCAAAACGATACAAAAGGCCGCATGTGCAGATCTAAGATTCGATGTTAACGAAGCCAAAATTGCAAATAATAGAAATGGGAATATATAAAGAATTTTCATTTTGTAATATGTTCAACTCTTAGCGAGAAAACCCGCCATGCTTATCATAATTGCTTCAATTACTACTCCAAATACTACAAGATGCGGTGGTGTAAAGACACTGTACCCAAATGGACCCATTTTGGCACCGGTTCGGGTCACGCCTCCTAAAATCACTCCATCCTTGACCCGGAGTTTGCCTACTTTGTTTATTTACAGTTATTTTCATGTCGGAAACCCATGATAGTCGGTTCGAATCCCATATTCTTTCTGATAATGTGTCTAGGCTGGCAGCCGTGGTCGCGGTGTCCCCACTGTGTCTAAACTTCGAATCCCTGCATCACTTCAGTTAATCCCCCTACATCAAGCTGAGACTCCGCGATGGACCTGCTCAAAGAGGCCTTAAACTCAACTCACTCACTCACCACACAGAACCAGGTCTCTTCAGACAAATTACAGATTATTCATTGGTAAGCGTTTTACCCGAATTTCCATCACGAATAGTGTCATATTTCGACTCGCGTCTTTCCTATCAATGTTTATATCGACTCGTCAAAAATTTCTTAAAATCGTGACTCGATTTCATGATTTTACAGCACAGGTGATTCTCTAGGTTATATAGTAATCAATGTTACCGTAATCACAATTAAATGTGTGCAAGGGGCACTAATAAAAGCATTGTTTAGTCTCAACATAGCATATCAATTCCAGATGTGGCTTCACAGAGCTTCTGGGAATAATAGAGGCTCTGCGCTCGCTCAATGATTCGCGTAACAGTGAGTGAGTGAGTATGCTTTTACGGCTCTTTATCAATATTCCAGTGTTATCACATCGACATTCAAAAGAAGTGAGCTTCATACGTATACCACATGTGGATTCGAACCCCGCGTGACCAGCGAACGCTATAACCAATACGTCTCATATCATGAAAGAGCTGACAAAACATGGGATGGTCATAATGTGTGACGAAATGTTTGTCATCGTATCCTGTTAGCGTGTGCCTTTACTTATTCTATCAACCACCGGTTTGCCTTGACGTGCCTCGGTAACGTACAGGACGTGATTACAGTTGTAATATATGACACCGTGGCCTTAAACAGCTTTCGCTCACCCAAACAGTGGGGGCTGGGTATAAGTGCATGATTATACCCTGACACCGAGAGGATGCGCTAAATACTCACACAAACTGATGCTCTACTCTAGATGCTATATCCAACATCGCAGACCATCAAACACAAGCGCCAGATTTCACTATCACCTAACTGTACTTATCTAAATATACATTGTAATAATTTATATACAATTCAACATTCATATTCTATAACCACACATATATATTTCCAAAACATAAAACTTAAAATTTGCGATATATCATTCGGCTCTTTTCACATTCATAAATTATCTATCTCGATGCGTAGTTATTAAGTATGATTCATGGTTTTTATTCCTCTTCATTTGACTTTGGATAATATTTCTTAAACGTATGTTAAATGATTGCATCAAAACAATAATACAAATCATAATTGTTTGTATTCTTAAAACGATACATATGCTAGTTTGGCATTCTAATATCAATTTTCCACGTATATATTACACACAGGTTGATTAAAGGAGCACAGTTTAAACGAACCCAGATCTTCTTTCAGTCAGCGCGCTATCAACTAGATCTTTTATCAACACGAGCTGTTATAACGGTAATTTGAAGGCATATCTCAATTGAACCCAAGGAACGCACCGTGTGGGCCCTGGTCGCTCCGTTCGCCAAACCTCTGACAAGTTAATAATGTTAGAAAGATCATACATAAAAATCAACATGGTTATGCGCTACGAGGCTCGATGCACACAAAACGATAGCTGATGTCACGATATGATCACGTTTCGAAAGGCAGTACTTTTATCAGACGTTTATTAATTGTCCTAATACAATAAACTATCGACGCGGGGTTTGTTTAACGATGTCAGTATGAAGCCTGTGGCTTCAAGCTATGTATGAATATAGTGCGGACAGATAGATAGTGGAACAAATTAAGGCGTATACTAGTTATGGAGACAGCCTCTACCCACCTTAACTGTATATATAGTATATACTGCGTATGTACTATTAAAGATTTACCAATATCTCAGTTTTCTTACAATTTTGTTAAACCATAACTTCGAAAAATATATCAGGTTAACCTAAAAGTATATTTTATCAAGTTTTAATTGGCTAGGAGTTTGAATGTGAAGAAATCGATTTCTGTCAGAACTGTTTAATTGAAGTGTTATATTTATTGGCTCGGCTAAACACAGCCCCACTTACCTCGGTTGCGGGAGATCTAGAACACGGGCGATCGGTAACCAATGTGCAGGAAATAAAAACCTCGATTTTCACTGTCTCGTAAATACATTTCTCACAAAGCGTCGTTGTATTGTCCGTAGTTAGTAAGTTTACAACATGTCCCGACTTTAGCACTCTTTGAGTCCACACGTTGAATGCCAGTCTAGTTCCAGAGACAAGCCTGAAATACAACGATCCCGCCCCATCACGCGCGTGGCTGATAGCAGCACGCTTTGCACGGAGGTGGGAGAACCGTCGTACATTGGTTGTGTAGAGAACGGTGTGGGGGTGGAGGGGGACGTCGGCTGCTGCCGAGGGGGAGGGAGGCATCAGCTGGTCAGAGGTGACGGACAGTAGCTATAAGTATAGGGGAAGGAAGTGAAGCGATAGTCAGGGACTCGCCAGGTAGGGAGAGAGTTATACCGTGGTCAGGGGCGAGGAACTGTCGCCAGGTAGGGGGTAGTTGTCCTGTCGCCAGATAGGGGGTAGTTATACTGTCGCCAGGTAGGGGGTAGTTGTACTGTCGCCAGGTAGGGGGTAGTTGTACTGTTGCCAGATAGGGGGTGGTTATACTGTCGCCAGGTAGGGGGTAGTTGTACTGTTGCCAGGTAGGGGGTAGTTGTACTGTTGCCAGGTAGGGGGTAGTTGTACTGTCGCCAGACAGGGGTAGTTATACTGTCGCCAGGTAGGGGGTAGTTATACTGTCGCCAGGTAGGGGGTAGTTGTACTGTCGCCAGGTAGGGGGTAGTTGTACTGTTGCCAGGTAGGGGGTAGTTGTACTGTTGCCAGGTAGGGGGTAGTTGTACTGTCGCCAGACAGGGGTAGTTATACTGTCGCCAGGTAGGGGGTAGTTATACTGTCGCCAGGTAGGGGGTAGTTGTACTGTCGCCAGGTAGGGGGTAGTTATACTGTCGCCAGGTAGGGGGTAGTTGTACTGTCGCCAGATAGGGGGTAGTTATACTGTCGCCAGGTAGGGGGTAGTTGTACTGTCGTCAGATAGGGGGTTGTTATACTGTCGCCAGGTATTTGGGTTTTACTGTCGCCAGGTAGGGGGTAGTTGTACTGTCGCCAGGTAGGGGGTTGTTGTACTGTCGTCAGGTAGGGGGTAGTTATACTGTCGTCAGGTAGGGGGTAGTTATACTGTCGTCAGGTAGGGGGTTGTTGTACTGTCGCCAGGTATTTGGGTTTTAATGTCGCCAGGTAGGGGGTAGTTATACTGTCGTCAGGTAGGGGGTTGTTGTACTGTCGCCAGGTAGGGGGTAGTTATACTGTCGCCAGGTAGGGGGTAGTTGTACTGTCGCCAGGTAGGGGGTAGTTGTACTGTCGCCAGGTATTTGGGTTTTAATGTCGCCAGGTAGTGTTTAAGTAAATTGATTAATGGTGTGAGTGACACCAAACCATCAGGGGATGGCATGGTTTAGAATCGCAATTCTGAACAACGAATTGCACTCCCTTGGCCAATCACACAAACCAATCGAGATAAACTTTCCTTGGGACAATCGATATACAGTATAATATAAACACTCGGTTCATGTGGATTTAGCCAAATCTCTGAAGTAGTAAATAAACCCTAAAAACGGTAAAGCACCTCTGAAAATTAACATACATGTAATTTGTGAATATTGAACTCTTCCTGTGTGTTGTTGCTTGGACATTTGTTGATTTTTTACGCAAACTGCATACTGTTTTTTGTTTGTTTGTTTGTTTGTTCTATAACGCCGCACTCAGAAATCGTCAAGCCATATGTCCGACAGCTTGCACAAAAGTAAGGGCTGGGCAAACAAGTGATTGATATAATGAGCAACGCAGTTAATGTTTATTTGTTGTTTAACGCCGCACTCAGCGATATTCCAGCTATGTGACGAGGGTCTGCAAATAATCGAGTCTGGACCCTACAATCCAGTTATTGACGTCATGAGCATCGATCTACGCAATTGGGATACGATGACATGCATCAACCAAGTCAGCGAGCCTGACCGTTAGTCGCCTATGACGATAAGCATGGGTTGCTGAAGATCAGTTGTAACCCCGATAGCAGTTAATAACATTCAAATGACTGATATCACCATTCTATGTATACGGGTCACAAAGATGGGTATTAGAAAATATAGAAATAACAGAAAAAGCGATGAAAACTTGACACAATACTTCGACCATCAAGCAAAATTATATGGAATATTGTGACAGGTTCTGTCTTCGTAGTGATTTTGGCATAAGCGTGAATCACAGTGTGCCATATTAAATCTATTAAATTATTGATATATGCAAATAGTTTTTAAAAGTTTCATTGTGATTTTAAGTCCAAACTAACAAATGTCTCATTTTGCTGGGATTTTCTTTTAAATACTGGAACAAAATATTTGTCCACAGGTTTTCCCCACCAATATTCACTGGACATAATGGATGACTGTACAAGTTGTTGTGAACATTTTAAAAATTATTTTCTCCTTTCACTGAAAACTAGTGAATGTGACCGAAAAACATATCCTCCCTCTAAAAAAAGTCCCTCAAGACATACAGGATCTGCATAATTAAATTAGTGAGTGCGTGAGTTATTTTAACGCCGCTTTGAACAGTATTCCAGTTCACTTGAGATGCAAAAGAAACCATATCATAGTTGATTCTATCAAGTGTTTGGCATTCAATTGAAAATGTCTTAAGTTAGCGAAAATTGAACTGCACTTGGTCAGCACTTAAAGAATATTTCTACATGGTTTCAATTTTTAAAAGAAAATTTGATTTAAAAAGTTTTATAACTAAAAAACATGGTTTCTCTCAAGACACAACTGCCGATAAAAATCAAAGAATTTGCTTTTTCCGGGACATTTATTTTAGGTTTCAAACACGGTTGGGGCCATATGGTTGGAAATGCATTTCTTACCCCATTCTTCATTGAACCAATTTATTTTTACTCGAAATTACCCAGCCACAGATTACTTTTAACAAACTGTTGCAGGAATGAGTAATGGTTAAATAGACATACTCAAAATTAACAACAGTTCTTTCAATTCTCAATTACATAAAAATAAGTTCGGTACACTTAGGAGATAAACATACTGTGTTTTCAATGTAGAGCAAGGTTACCTGTGGATTTAATCGCGCTAAATTGAATTTGGAACCGAACGCGCAGCGTGAGGTTTCAAATGTTAGATTTAGCGCGGTTAAATCTACAGGTAACCAATCAGAATCGAGTAATTTCCAAATTCATGGTATACTTTCTTTTGCCCCGTGCTAAAGTTTACATCAAGTCGCGTCATCCTGCTGTGGGAGGAAAGCCCTGATTGTTGCACGTTGGTAAAACCCACAAGCACGGCTATGTTCCTGAAATCTGGAAACATAATTAGGGCTTATGTGGATTCGAACCCACGACCACAGGTTTCTGGAACGTCTGAGGTACTGATATGGGAAAACCTTTAAAAATCATAAACTTTATTGGAAGAGAAATGAGAATCATATTGTCTTCAGTTCAACACCAGCATACATGTTTTTAGACTTCTAACATCACTTAATGTACAAGAAACGGTAAAATGAGTTAAATATGGGCGAGTTTAGAGGTGTACAGGGAATACGTTCAACGCTTGCAAGTGTCGGAAAGAAATTACTTGTTGCCAGTTGTAGGAACGTGTTCGATAATGTTCGTAACAGTAAATCAAAGTTTTCATGAACTTTAAAATGATATTTCCAGTGGTTCCCAAAAGTCCCTTATCCTACGTCGACGTGTGCTCTGTCAATATATGACCTATGAACGTGTCGATGTGACGTTGCACACTGGACCCTTATGGAGACAATGAGTGTTGTAACTGTCTTGTTGATGATGTCATATATTGTATAATTCCTGTAAAGTCTGGTCTTGTACCATCCCACCGCGTATTTCGTGAGAATTTTGAATCTTGAACGCTCGTCAATTTCACGGGGCGGTCGGGTAGCCTAGTGGTTAAAGCGTTCGCTCGTCACGCCGAAGACCCGGGTTCGATTCCCGACATGGGTACAGTGTATGAAGCCCATTTCTGGTGTCCCCCGCCGTGATATTGCTGGAATATTGCTAAAAGCGGCGTAAAACTATACTCACTCGATCGTCAATTTCACCGGCCTGGCGATAAGGATTGGTGACGGGTCTTCTTAAAATGCTTTGATTAAACCATCAGTTTATCGTATCTTTGAAGATATCTTGAAGCCTTATTATTTACAACAATTAACAAATACCCCTTTTCACCTTAAAGATCTGCGTCGATGCGATTTTTTTTATGAGTGATTATTATTATTATTAACGATGTATAATTAGATGCTTTTAATGATTCAGGGTCAGTGAGTTGAGTTTAACGCCGCCCTGAACAGTATTTCAGTATTTCGCGGTGTGTCACCTTTATGTTTGTGGAAAACCCGAAGTGATCAGGTCTTACACAAACGAGAAACATAATCGGAGCGAACCGGGATTCGAACCAACGGTCATAGGTTCTACCGTGACCAAGGGACTTAACTCTGCACAGCGAATTGCGGCGCCTTAGACGTTCGGGCCATCCGTGGCCCCTAATGCTCAGGCCCAGACTCAGGTCCGTGTTTCAGGCTCAGGCTCAGGCCCAGGCTAAGGCCCGTGGCTCAGGCCCAGGCTCAGGTTCATGGCTTAGGCCCAGGCTCAGGCACAGGCTCAGGCTCAGGCTCAGGCTCAGGCTCAGGCCCAGGCTAAGGCCTGTGGCTCAGGCCCAGGCTCAGGCTCAGGCCCATGGCTCAGGCCCAGGCTCAGGTTCATGGCTTAGGCCCAGGCCCAGGCTCAGGTTCAGGCCCATGGCTCAGGCCCAGGCTCAGGTTCATGGCTTAGGCCCAGGCCCAGGCCCAGGCACAGGCACAGGCTCAGGCTCAGGCCCAGGCTCAGGTTCAGGCCCATGGCTCAGGTTTAGGCCCATGACTCAGGCCCGAGGCTCAGGCTCAGGCTCAGGCCCGTGGCTCAGGCCCGAGGCTCAGGCCCGTGGCTTAGCATTTGTATAGCCGTCTTACTGCGGAAATAATCACACTATTCACTAAATGTGTCGAAACATTCCGAGGTTTTGCATAACTGTTGTGTCAATAATTACCTCAGAGCGATGACAAAAGCAATAAGATTATTGGGTGGTACAGACAGAATCTGGGTTAAACCAAAGTAGCTCCTAAAGGTTCAAACCTGTGGGTATCTAGCATGGTGGTTGGAATGATCGTTGATGACCCAACATATGTGCGATGCCATTATGAACGAATAAGTTGTCCAATCACCTCCGCAA